CCTGAGAAGTTTGGAGCGTTGTAAAAACATGTTCAACCCGTTTTGATCAATTCTGTTGATTGGAATTGGTAGAACAGCAAGCAGCAGATAAATGTCAACAAACAAACCTGTCATGTATGTGTGTGACGCTGAGAAATCGCTAATAGAAGTTCGGACGCTGCTTAGACTGACGAGAATACGTAAATTCCCCTACATTGCATTTTTTTAAAGTTTTATTGAAGCTTGTAGAATAGTCGTAGTTTTGTTGTGCCAGTTGGCTTCACGTCATCCACTCTTTAATGTTTATCAATAAATATGAACCTCTGAGATCCTAGGATTTGTGAGTTTTCGGCTGCATTTGACGGATTAACGCTGGCACTCTGCCTCCCGGACGGTTATACGTGTGTGGTCGATTTGTGGTTTTCTCGCTTTCCGAGAAATTTTAGAATCGAAAAAAAACATGATTCATCATGTTTGCAACATTGCAAGCATCAGAAGATTTAGCGCTATCTGCGTGGTTTGATTGGTCTCGGACCAGAAATTTGTGGCATCGCGAGTGAAAATTTTAATTTCTGTTTATTTACGCAGTGATGAGAACGGCGCGGATCTATTGTTAGGGTTTTGCGATGTGCATTGCTTTTGTGCACGGAGTGACTTGAAAAAGAAAAGCGAAGAAAAGTGATATTTGGTTGTTGTGTGGTTGGAGTCGCTTGAGGAGGAATTGTTTAGGGATGACTAGAGAAAAATATGCGTGGAAGCATCGGGAATGCGCTCCCCGGGTGTGGTGATTTGGTGAGTACGTTCCAGTTGAAGATTGTTGAAAAGTGTATTTGTGGTGATGCAAATTATGGTTTAGATGACGCATGGCTTCAAACATTTTGTGTATCCAAATAAAACATATTTACATACTAAATACGCACAGGGCATCGTCTGCTGACCATTGCCGCGGGTATATCGTGGGAGTCCCAGTTAGGAATACCATATCAAAAATTTGAAAAGGAGGACATTTCATTTGAGGTTTGGAGATTAAGAAGGACAATTATTCCTTTTCTTAACATTAAAGGAGGACAATGAGTTTTTTATCAAACGTTTTATTCATATGTGCGCTATCACAAAATTCATGATTTGCGAAGGTTCAATTGAGATTGTTCATAACTTGTAGTCGTTATCAATTCAATTCTTCTTCTCGTTATACTTCTGAAAAATGCATCAAACTAGCCTTGTTACTTGGAAATAATCTAGCCTAGCTGATTTGCATGAAAACTACAGCTTTATAGCCTTAAAACCATCCCAACTTTTATCATGTACAAAAATCAGGATACATGTCATCGCTGATTGAAACCAACATGGAACATCTAAGCAACCTGTTAATTTTACCATTGATTCAGCATAGGATTCTAATACCCCGTACTTCCCTAGTAAAAAATACCATAATCGGATGGTAACCCAAATGGATCAATTATTCAACAAATGGTTTGGATGATACCCGGAACACGTCGTTAAGCATAACCAATAACCATAACAATTTTATTAGCGAGACTATGGTTTATATCATGTAATATAAGCTGTCTTGCAATGAGCACTCATACATAGGATTTCCAGTGAAAAATAGATGTATGAGTGCTATTATTGATATCATTCTTTACATCCGACTTCACGATTCGCGTGCCTCTTCGCTCTCAGTATGGCAGTGGCCAAATCAAGCGTAACTATTCAAATCTACGAATACGCAAACAAACACCTACACCCCTACTACCAGGTGTTGTTAGGTGAGTGAGCATGCAGTGGCCACAAAACGTCGATTGAAGTGATTGTTTACAAAATCAGATACGTCGATTTGAATAGTTATGCTTGAAATACCTAAAATCTTATAGAACCAGAACTTCAAAATCGAACACATATTGGTTTCAGTCTGTGTGACTGTTTTCATTTAGTGAATTTTAACTTAAATTTGACAGATAGAAACATTTTTTTTTTCTTTTCCTTTATTTAACGTCGGTCTCTGTTCCGCAATCTAGTGCCAATCACCGACGGACATCGATTGCCATCTATTGACGGCAACCGAATGTGCAGGAAGGCAGCTTCCACACCTGCGTATCATATCGCACCCATTCAACACACATGAGCCGGGACCAACGGCTTTACTTCCCTTCCGAAGGAAGACGTGACCAGAGATTTTTATGCCTTAGAAAAATCCCACCGACCTCGGCTGGGAATGAACCCAGACCCATTGGGGTGTTAGAAAGCAGTCACGCTTACCACTACACCACCGGCGCCGGCTGATAGAAACATTTCAAATAAACCTGCTACAAACACCTTCTCGAAAATCACATGATCAACAACAGCGAGTTTTTCGAACATTGTAATTTATTTTCGAAATGTCAAATTTACGTAAAAATGGAACAATGGAGGCTGTGTTTTATTTGATGAACTCTTCGAAAATAATGTATAATGTTCGAAAATCCCTCTGGTGTTGATCGTCCGATTTTCGAGTAATTGTTTGTCAAAATTGATTCCTGGATTGTCTGAAATAATTCTGGTAGAAAAGCAGGCTTATTTGAAAATTTTCCATCTGTCAAATTTAAGATAAAATTCACGAAATGGACGGCAGCCTTGACCGCAGCCTAAATGTAGTGGGGTTGACAGCTTTAGTATACTCCTAGTCCCACCACCGAATGGCATTTGCTAGATAAGATGAAGTTGCGACATAATTAAACAAATAAGCTCTGCAAACAACGCTCTTTGAAAAGATTTTTTTTTTTGAATATGTTACTAGAAAAAAATGCAAGAATTAAAAAGGAGGACATTTTCAGGCAAAAGGAGGACGTAGAAAAATTATTGAAAAAGGACGACATGTCCTCCATTGGGAGACCATATGGTAACCCTCCAGGTACCCGGTTCAAGCTTTAGTTGGCGGCGGTGGCTCTTCTTGACCTTCTACCCCCTGAGTAGTTAGTGTGAATAAGGGCGTCTATGTGATGTTTTGCTGTACCTGTTGTGGACATCTAGTGCATCCTGTTCCCTTAACTTGTTGAGGACACTCTGTCTTGCCTCAAAAGTTACCCTTTTTGAAGTACTAGTCTTTACAACATAAAGGGCACCATTACGGAGCATGAGATTTGATCAAATTATTCGCAGTTCTACCATAGAGGTAACTCTAAGACTAGAAGGTCCCGAAATAACGTGCTCAACTTTTTGGCTCAGCTCTGGTACTCTCTTCGGTCCCAAGCTAATGATTCACCCCTCGAAACATAGGAAAAACCAATAACCCCTCATTTTATCTGTCAAACTTTCATAGCGAATCAAAACAAACATTGCGTAGTACTAAAATTTTCGACTAGAATAGGGTACGGTAATCGTTTGCTTGGGACCAATAGGCTACTAAAGTGGTGAACCAATTTTAAATCGTTAGTTTCGTATTGATTGTTGGTTCTACTTGTCAAACGCCCCCGGCTGGGTGAAGGATAGAGGATGACACACACACACACACACACACACACACACACACACACACACACACACACACACACACACACACACACACACACACACACACACACACACACACACACACACACACACACACACACACACACACACACACACACACACACACACACACACACACACACACAAACACACGATAAATAAAGATTACGTCACTGGAGTGATTATGAGCGTCACTTTTTGTCTCTTAGTGACGAGAGTCACGATTATGAGTCCCACTTTTTGTCAGTCAGTAACGAGAGTCACGTCAACGGAGCGATTATGAACGTCACTTTGTTGTCACTTTTCTGTAACGGTTACAAAAAAGTGAAGTGACGTGATGGTGATAATAGAGTCCCTGATAGGAGGCTGTTCATCAACTACGTAGATAGGGGGGTGGCAATTATCCACGGACCATAAATATACAAATTGTGTATGGACAGTTGTCTACGCAGAGGGATGGGGAGGGGCAAGAATCTCAAAAAACTACAACAGACAGCCCTATGGGGTTGTACGCAATGGTGACGTAGGACTACGTGGTCTTATATAATAAATCTTATTTTTAACTGCAGCAGGAGCTTGTGTTTTGTGTATGAATAGGAATTTGAGCGGGGTTCTTTCTGTTTATACGCTTTATTATGACGCGCTTGACATAAATGGCCCGCAGCGACTTACGAGTACTACTGATTCCGATCAATAGCAGTGCGGCTTCTTCCTCCTTCTATGGATGCTCATGTCGGCTGCAGCTCGTTGCTTGCAGGCAGCTTTTTGTTGTGTACTGGAGAACACCACCACTCACCACGCGGTGATTGAATAAACACCGTTTGGTGAGACCAGATGGAATTCAACTTTGAAATCTGTGCTAGGGAAATCACTTTTCGCAGGCAATCGGTGATAATTTTAATTATCATAGCAACAGTTGCACATTCGTGCAATTTCCAAAAGCGACAACTTTAAACATTATAAAGTCTTAATTTCAGCAGATGCGTAGGAATATTTCTGATCGATTGGTGATAAAATTATTGAAATTGGTTCAGGGGCAGCTGAGTTATTAACGTTCAAAATCTTTCATTTTCGGTTTTCACAAAGTGTACCCCCATATAGAAATTACAGACGTAATCCTACGTCACAACTGTCTTCGTAGTTAATTAACAGTCCCTAGGTACCATATTTTTATTTGTTTTTTTTTCGATTGCAGTTGCATCAAGCTTGGTTTTATTTGAACATCGGAAAAAAGGAAAATAGGACAGCGTAAAAAAAGGTTGGGTGTAGGTGCTCAGTTGAATCCTCAAGATTAAATATGGAAGAGAATAATGAGCACACAGAGAAGCCTCATTAAAGATGAACCGAAATGTTACGGATTACCTTTGTCACCTTGGGAAAAGAGGGTCAATCAACACCGATACATATAAGCAGTTTGAGGTAGCTCCAATCGACTTCTTAAGACCATTAGTGAACTGTATCTCTCCACTGTCTATCGGACTGTCATCAAATCAACTCCGATTACTCTTCCCCGCAGCAGGCAAACATTCCTCTATTTACATACACTAGTTAATTGTCTTTATTTAATCATTAATTATATATCGTTTATTCATTATTATTTATACTTTTCTTCTTGTCTTCCTGTTCTTCTTCTTCATCTTTTTTTCTTCTTCTTATGGTTGTGCTGTGTATTCAGCGTCAAATTGTCCACAGTTCCTTTCGAGTTGCTGCTTCCTCCGTTCGATTAGTTTCGTTTCGTGTTGTTTGGTTTTTTATTCGTGATTAGCACAGATTTGCTGCCATTTTGTTTTTTTTTCATTCCCTTGCATTCCACATTTGTTTCCCCATTTTATTCTCCGTGTCCGTGTCGCATTTTCTGATTTTTGTTTTGCTTTCTTCTGCTTCTTCTTTTGTGTTTCGCATGGGTCTCTCGCAATGGGGTCGCAAAAGTATAGATAATAATTTATAGTTGTATTTTTTTACAATTTTCAAAGCTATATATATGTAATTTTTATATGTTTTTTTTCCCCATTTTCTTTGTTTATTATTTGTTTTGTCAGTATATATATGTTCATTTTTTGTTTGTTTAAAGATATTGAATTCAAAATAGTAAAATTAAAATAATCTTTTTGTTCCGGTGTGAAATATTTCCACTATTCAATTTACGTTTTATTACATAACACATGTCTTGTCTCATTTACTTCTTTTTGTTGTTGTTGTTGTTGTTGTTCTGTTTTATTTTCAAATGTGTTGCCCTAATTTTCTGAATGCTGAACATGAACGTGTGTGTTGTGTGGCTCTGTGTGTTGCGTGTATGAGTAATTTAAATCTGTTGTTTTGTTGTTCCTTTTCTCTGATGTCTACCTCCTGTGGTTTATGCCGTTTTGCTTTGTTTTTAGATTTGTATTGATTTTTTAAACTATGGTTTCACTATGTTTCATCGTTGAGTTGAGTTGAGTTGAATTGATTTCCAATTTTGTCCTGTTTACTTTCACCTTTCCGGGATCATTGTTCACTGCATGAAAGTAGTTTCCGGGACAAAATCGCCTGTCTGCTGAGAGAAACGGTTCCATCGGAGCAAAATGTGTTGTTGTGTGTGTTTTTTGGTTTGTTTTGATATCTTTGAACTTCTTCTGTATGAGTGAGGCTGTGTGGGTAAGCGAAACAATAGACTCATGGCTATCACATCATGGGCGACGGTGATGCGTGATGAGATTCGGGAAAATGGTGAAACTATGGCGAGTTTGCTTTTACGTTTTTTTTTTTTAATTTTTGCTTTGTTTTGAGACACTTTAATAGAAGGAACGACTAGTAGCTTCTCTTTAAACTTTTATTTTTGTTTGGTAAGTGGACACAGAGAGGTGTTGTCGAAGAAAAATCTGTTGATTATCATGACACTATCGATAAATTCTACTTTCAGCATGAAATTGTTGTACTAAAGGTCGTGCTAACCGACGAGAAACAGAACAAAAAAGTTGAATTTTCGTGAGATGTATGTGTGTGCTTGTGTGCACAGGAGAAAACGTTGAGCACCTTCGAGTGAACGAATCTCAGCGTTTTGCTGCTGTGACACTGTGGTTTAAGCCAGAAGCGCTTTTTCTCAGTGCAAACAGTAACCGTTCGGCGCGTGCACAGATGGAAGAGGGTTGAACCGAAGGGTGAAAGAAACATTGACGAAAATTTCGTATCTTGTAATTCTTCGCTAATGATTATATCGGTTTTAGTAGTATCCTTGTTTCCACTATTTTGTAATTGTGTCCTATAGTAAATTTGTGTTTTCCCTAAAGTTCAAATTTATAACAATTTTTGCTCTAACCTTATGCTCTCTTGTTAAGCAAACCAAACAACGCGTTGTAGTCTGGAATCTGTATGTTCGCTTATCTCGTTGGAACTTAACAATACCTTTGTTTTGCTTTGTTGTCAATTTGTGTTGTTTGTCAACAAAAATCTAGAAGTTTGAGTTTTTTTTCATCATTCTTCTTTGTTTCAGTGTAGATTTTCTATTTCACTTTTTTTGATGTATAATTAAGTTTTATTTTCCTTTCGGTAGTTCCTCACTTGTGTTCTTTTCTTTGGTGTTTTGCGACTCTTGGGGACATGTAAAAATGCGGCTTTGCTTGGAATTGTTGTTTATTACTTCTGTGCTGTAGGTTTTTTTTGTCTAATATTTTCTTCCTTTACTGATTAATGTGTGTGTGTAATTCTGGGATTCGACTCTTTGAGTATGTCTTCAGAACATTTCGCGCTTTCTCATGTGGGGAAAAGCTCGTGGAAAAAACTCTGGAGTAACGTTCATAACGAAGAATGCATCGCTTTGTCACCAGACAAAATCTAAACGAGATCGGTAACAACATACATAAATTTATTTAGTTAGGTATAATCAATGATTAAGTAGAAAATAAACGACCATCCCTTTTTTTAATTTTTTGGTTTCTCTTGTTCGATAAATATGTATAATAGATCATATGTAAAGAGTTTTTGTTTTGTCGTCACTATATACTTTAATTATTCTTCAAATTGTATCATTTAATGTGAGTGTTGTTGTGTGTGTCTTTTGTTTTTTTTTCTTTTACTTGTTTCACCGTCGAATAACTCTTTTAAGTTAGTTTCTTATGATTTTTTACTGACTTTAGTTTTTAAACTGATGCTGATTGGAAACTAGCGACGAGACGTCCTGTACGAGTGCCGCCGGTGCAGCCGGGGCTTGCTGGGCGGCCTGTACCTGCATTGGCATCTGTTGCATCGGGATCTGCGGGGCCATCATCATCGGCTGTTGTGGTTGTTCAGCTGGCATAAATTTCGCTGTAAGACGCAGACAATGTCGCAGATGAAAATGGAAAAGAAAATGCATTAGTTCAACACACAATAACTCTACACGCAGCCGTACACGGGGTGGTTCCAAACTTCTACGCAGAAAGGAAAGAACGAAAGATTTTCAATTGTACACATTTAGTCGAGAGAGATAGGATTTTTGCTTGTTTGTTGAAAATATTGGCTAGGTCACAATTAACATTGGCAGCTAAGGACAAACCACTCTTGCTATATTTAAGGTAGAAGGCGCTATTTACGATATTTACGCGGCTAGAAGTGCGAACTGCACCCGGTGGCCGTGCGTGACCCACCCTGACGAAGTGGCATCGAAACGTCGACAGAGCTCTGAATGTGTACAGAAGTCAAAGTTGTGTAGGTCACAAACCGCCACCGGGTGCAGTCAAGTTTGCGTTGTACATACAGGCTTGCGTTGCGATGTTTAGCGCATGTTCAATACACAGGTGGACTGGATATGTAATGCTTTATTGTTTGCTATGGTACAGGGTATTTATCAATGTTTCAACTGTCGGCAAGCTATACTGGGTGGATTCATTATTGTTACATTATTTAGCTTGACAAAAGTGAAAATCGATATGTTTTCGAAAGCAACAACAACAACAACCGAGGAAAGACAGAGAGAGAGAGAGAGTGAGAGTGAGAGGACGCAACTTGAAGAAACACAATGTGTGTACCTGGTGTGGACATATTTATTGAGACAGAGATAGCGTTGTGATTACTATTTGGGTTACTGAATTTGTATTGGTTCGTGTAGGTCTGAAAAGTTATCGTGGGCTTTTAAGTACTTGCTTTAGTGATGTTTGCTTTTATAGTATGAGTATATAATCGAAGACAATATGTCGAGAAGACTGGCAAGTTTTCCAGAATCCATACTATCGCAAGTCAACATATTACGTATTGCTTTTTGTATTTATACTTGACTTTTTGCCTAACCCTTTTCTTCGCATGGTAGCACAGGTGATCCACTACTTTTCGATTCCCATTAAGGCTGTGAACCATTTGCCGAGTTGAATTTAACTCGTGGTTAAAAGTGACATTTCGAAAGTTATTTTCTATGTTCGAAAATCCCTGTGCTGTCGATCGACCGGTTTTCGAGAAGAACTTAGCCAAGGTTGTCAAAATTTAACTTCATGTCTGTCAGAAGTAACCACGCTCGGATAGCAGGGTTAATCGATAACTTTCCATCTGTCAAATTTTAACCAAAAGTTAAGATAATCCACCAAATGGTTCAGAGCCTAAGGCTGTGAACCATTTGCCGAGTTAATTTTAACTCGTGGTTAATTGTGACACTTCGAAAATCTGAAATAAGGACTGTTCATAAAAGAAAGTGGACACTTGTTTATCAATGGTTTATGTAGTTGAAGATGCTAACTTCAAATAACAGACTAAAGTGGTAACTTTTAATACGATAGATTGATAGTTCCGTTTAGAGTATGGCAGTGTGAAAATTGCATATAGAAGTAGAGAGCGAGCTAGACAATTTTTAGGAAGGTACACATCAGTTTTATCATCTCTCTTTACCAAACTCCCTTTGGAGAGGGATGGTGAGGGGTGTCCCCCACGACACCACTGGCAAAAATGGTTTATGGTTAAAACGTAACGAAAAATTGTGAATTTTTGCTCAGTGTGTAAAAACATTGTTTACTTTGGCAATACACCTGAAAAATAAAAAAAAAATGAGAAATATCGAACGATGGGTAGGATCAGCTTATCAACTCGCAGATTAATTCTGCACAAATAGTTTTCCGAAAAGTTGTCGTTTCGAGAATTGGTAAAAAGCGTGAAGTGCAGGGTATCGGACCAGAAAAAGGAGCTGACAGCAGTACGCCTTTTGAAATCGCATAAACCGTGTTCCGTTCGTGAAATTGCCGAAAAATTGGACATTAGCGTCGGAACTGTGCAGATTATCAAGATTATCAAGCAAAAAGCACCCAAAAGGACGGATTCACAGAAAGCTTCTTTGAAAATACGGTCACGAAACTTGTATGACGTTCTCCTTCAAAACCCGAACTGGTGAATTTGTATGGACGACGAGACGTACATCAAATTGGATACCAGTACACTTCTCGGGCCGCAATTTTTCAACGCTGAGCAGAGGACAGAGTGCCTGATGATATGCGATACATCCGAACCGAAAAATTTGGAAAAAGGCTTTGGTGTGGCAAGCCATTTGCTCCTGTGGCTTGAAAAGTTCTTCGTATTTCACAACGGGCACAATCAATGGCTTCTATCCATCTACCGAAAGCATCCGCATCTGCTCACTATGCTTCTGCTACGTTGGAGATGCTCAAGAAGGAAAAAGTCGATTTCGCCGAAAAATTCCAAAATTCCCCAAACTGCCCTGAACTGCGTCCTATCGAAAGGTACTGGGCAATAATTAAACGGCATCTTAAGAAAGATGGAAGAAAAGCAAGCTCTGTTCATTGCTTCAGGAAAATTTGGTCTGCAGCACAACGAAAAGTTAAGAAGAAAGTTATGCAGAATCTAATGGGCAGTATCAAGAGAAAAGTCCGAGCGTTCTTGAGAGATGAGAAGTAAACATTCAAACTCACGTGAAATCGGTTTGATTTTGATTTTCATTTATATAAAGTAAACTTATGAATTTGTTCGGAAATAAATATTTTCCTTTGAGAAACAGGTGTCTAGCAGTTTTTTTCAAAAATGCATTTTCGCATTTCATAACAACGAAAAATCTGCGGGTAAGGGCTACCTTGTCGAACGGTCTTCGATGACTCGGAATCAGACATGTAAGAGGACAGAGTGCCTGATGAGTAGGACAATCTTAAGTAGGACTTCAAGGAATCTGAAAAAAATATACGGTCACATTTCTTCGGCACTCTTGAAACCCGTTTATCTCCGTTAATAAGCCCTAAATCGAGATTTGAAGGGTGTTCCAAATCTGTAACCCGTTTATCTTCGTAAATAAGCCCTACGTCGTTATTTGGTGTTCCAAATCTTTAAAATCGTTTATCTCCGTAAATATGGCCTTAATCGCGATTTGAAGGGTGTTTATGTGTTCAAATTTTTTATATTCGATTTTCTCTGTAAAATTTGACCTAAATTAGATGTAGGTTTTCTAAAATTTGGTCTAACTCATGATTTGAGTTTTCCAAATCTTTAAACCCGTTCATGGCCTTAATCACGATTTGAGGAGTGTTTAGGTGTTCGATATTTTTATACCCAATTTTCAACGAAAATGTTGGCATGATTTGGGTTTTCCAAATCGTTAAACACATTTTTTTTTTGTAAATATGGCCTTAATCGCAATTTGAGGGGTCTTTAAAGGTTGAACATGAAAAAATCCGAACACATGAAAAACGCTGACATTTTTTTTGAGTATTTTTTTTCAAAATTTCACTGTATCAAGTTAAGAGTGTATAGAATCACAGCAGGCATTCGTTGTCAGGATTAGGCCATTTGTTTACATCATGGTTTCACCAGAGCAAGCACATCGCGATTCGATCCTGCACGCTCGAAACGAAAATCCCGGTCTTGGTAGTTTTCGATCAAATCCCTGGGCAGGAATTTTATACCCCGGTTGACCGGGGAGCATGTTAAAATAAAAAAAAAAATTCCTTAAAAAATTCCTTTTTGCCAAGCAATCTGCAGTTGTGGCTTATATTCCTGGATTGACTTTTCGAAATGACCAATGCAACATTACCGCCATATTAAGGAAAACAAAGTTGAAGTTCGACAGATTATTTCTTAAACTGAACGCTTGGACTAGTTAAGTAGTACTTCGGACATGTTACATTGGACGTTTTTTTTTTGCTCAATAACATAATCAATGAGTGTAACTTTGGACGTTTTGTTTTACATGATACTAGATTCCCTTTCACAGACTTCAGAATAGAGTATCTAACAAACATCGGCAAAATTACTGGTACCCTTATTTAAATCCTTTAGTCATGTTAGGCAGACCAAATGTCCAAAGTAACAATCAAGCACCCAGCATTCCAAACTGTATATTGGACAAATTTTGACCTATGATTATTAGGGTGGGTCAGCTTTATATGGAAAAAAAAGTAAACATGAGGCCATGTTAAGCAAGAACAACCCTTTTTTGGTTCCATTTGGGGTCCCAAACAACTAGTCATATACAACTGCCTAACAACTTCAGCCAAGGAAATGCGGTTTTAGAATATCTCTTTTTGTTAAAACTGTGCAAATATTTATGGTTTGAATTAAATGCCTAAAATCACGTTTTCTGCCAATACTGCCGGTTGCCAATGGAAGTCACATTCCAAACTGAAATAACTTCGGAGTTTCTTAGCTTATCGATTTGGTATGTTCAGATGAATTATTCAAAAACATTTTTTCAATCTCATAAGCATAGTTAGAGAGGGGGAGGGGCTCGCCCCTTCACTTTTATCAATGGAAGTACAGCTTCAAACTGAAATAACTTCGGTGTTTCTCATCTTGTCGAGTTGGTATGTTCAGATGTGTGATTCAAAAATATTTGCTCAATTTCATAAGCGCAGTTGGAATAGGGGATGGAGCTTACTGTATCTCCTATCGTCTTGAGTTGGTATGTTCGGATGGGTTATTCAACAACATTTGCCCAATCTCATAGTAGCAGTTTAAAAGTGAGTACCCCCTCCCTCATTCCTACTCTTTTGGTGTAATATACAATGTCAATTCACATAAACGTCTTAGGATTGGAATGATGATTATATTTAAATTTATCATTTTCTACGATTTCTTAGGGTATTTTTTTTGATGCTGAATCTGAAGCAAATTTTGCTATTGTACTGGGTCTCGGGTGGATTTCTTGTTGAAGTCGTAAATCACCAAAATTGTGCATCACTCAAAACAGCAGTAGGCTTTTTGATCTAATTTCCGTCCTACCGTCCAACCCACGCTTTACCTCTCTTTTCTGAACGAGTTTAAACAAAAAATGGAATATTTCTGTCAAATATGCCTTCTAAATTTATTCATCTTTCCACACGTACCGTTGGATTTGATAAATAGTC